ATAAAGTATTTTTCGTAAAACTTTCGATCGTCATTACGTTAATGCATATTATCCGATTGCCAATAATAGCTGAATGAAATCAAAAATTGAGAAACAAAGTGTGTATTGACTATTGACCATTGATGGAAATTGTGGATTGAATTGAATGTAAGTTGGCTTCACACGTAAAGAATATATATATATATATATATATATTTTACTAATATAAGTGGTGGGGAAAATTGTGGCTTTGAATTAAATTTTGGAAGCCGAATCCAATTCAATAGCCAATAAGAAACGTTTTACATATTGCAGCACCATGTGATCCTGTACTCCCTCCTTCACAAATTCACAATCCAAGCACTCTTTTTACACATGGCATCTCCTCTATCTCTAACAACATATCCTCCCTAAATATACCTCACACTTTTCTTTTACCCTTTTTGATCTTTTTCCCTTTTCACTTTTTTCTTCCTACTTTCCACGTATTATAATATTCTATTATCTTACAACCACATAAATTCATGTGTTCTATCTTGATTCTTGACCCCTATGAAACCAAACAGAATATATTCTTCAATAAGATGTTTTTTTCATTATGCGGAGGTGATTAGCTATAATATGATATAATTTTAATGTATTGAGGATATAATCTCTAGATGAAAGCTAAACGGTAAGAGATAATCTCCTTGAACTCTAAGTTTGAAGAAGAGTTTTGGTTTGAAGTATAGGGAGAGAGGAAGATCACTGAATCATTTGGCTTAGGATGAAAAACTGAGAGACGAGAATTTGTTTTTACAAACCTTTGAAAACTTCTCCTTTTCATAGAAATTAGAGAGGTGAATTAATATATTTATTGAATTGTCGAAACTAACAGGACTCAAATTCACAACTTTTGCTTTGACATGGTGGTGCTTGATGCTTTCCCTTATTAGCATTATTATTTAGTAATCATGTTGTTCTTTTTCATCGATATGTGTATTACTACATTTTTTTTTTACTTGCTATGTATCTCGCTATTTTATTATATCATACTTTGATTTCCTTTTTTATTTGTCGAGTTGAGGGTTTTATAAAAAAAAACCTCTCTACACCACAAAAGTTAAGGATAAGGTCTATTTGTATTCTATTATATATGCCTTGATCTAATTTATGAGATTATATTGAATATGTTATTGTTGTTGTTTGAAATACGGAAATAAAAAAAAGTTTGCTTTTTCTTAGAATATATAGCAATCTTTTTAGTACACAAAAAATTAACCCGATTATCATATTCCTCAATGTAAATTTTGCTCTCGCTTGCATACCTCAAATTAAATGAAGATAAACATATACTTCCTTCTTTCATTTTCACTTATTCATGATGAATTTTGCATTTATTTTAAAAAATAATAAAGGATTAATTACTTGAGTGGATCCTTTTTAAAAAATAATTACTTATTTTAGACATACTCTTTTATTATTACCATTTATAGCAATATAAAACAATATTATATATTTTATTACATTTTTCTTTCTCTCGCCTTTTTCTCTTTTTTGTCTCTCAGCTTTTTAATTTTTCTCTCTTTCTCGCTCCTTTCTTTTTGTTGCCCTTTCTCTCTTACTTTCTTTTTGCTGTTTTTTCTTTTTTTGCTTTCCTTTTGCTGCTCTTTCTCTCTCTTTTTCTGTTGCTTTTTTTTTTCTTTTGTTTCTCTCTCTACTTTCTTTCGTAGAGTAGTCAATGATTCGTAGAATGAATAAAATTTGTATCAATAATTAATTAATTAAACAAATAATTTAATTGTTACAAATGAAGAGACATAATAAATTACAAAATGAATTAAACTTGAATTAAAAATGTATTACACACATTTAAAGTTGAAGTCAAAATATATTACACACAATGATCTATAGAGTAAATTAAACTTGTATAAATAATGAATTAAACAAGTAATCCAATAGTAGCAAATAAATAAAAAATTTGCAAAATAAATGAAATTGCTTTAAAATTGTATTACACAATATTAAAGTTGAATTAGAAGAGATAATTAGAATGAATGAAAAACGTAACTAACAAAAGACAAGACAACGATCTATAAACTGAATTAAACTCATATTATTCATGAATAAAACTTTTATCATATGTATCTTATAAATTATCTTTGCTTTTATCACTGAGAAAATGAGCGATAGTTGCAATATGTATTAAAAATGTATTATTAGTGTGTTACCTAAATTATTCTTGTTGGTATCCGTAAGAAATGAGTGAAGTGTGCAATACGTATTATAAATGTATTATTCATAAATAAAACATGTATTATATGTGTCTTATAAATTACTTTTGGTTTGTATCACTAAGAATGTGAGTGATGTTTGCAATATGTATTAAAAATGTGTTGTGCATGCATTATAAATGTATTATAAGTGTGTTACCTAAATTATTTTAGTTGATATCATTAAAAAGGGAATGAAGTTTGCAATATGTATTATAAATGTAGGATGTATTGTTCATGATTTTAATACAATTATGAAACATATCTAATACAACTTTAATACAAATGTGATATAATTCCGTAAACTTCATCCTTTTCGAGCTTCAATCCAATTTTTTCCTAAAATCAATTTCAAACTTAACCAAACCCTCTTAAAATTGGGATATAAACTCCAAACGATATTTTCAACTATTTGTAGGAACAACCTATCCAAACTAATCGCAAACGAAAGAGCAGTCAATGATTCGTAGACTGAATAAAACTTGTATCAATAATTAATTAGACAAGTAATCTAATTGTAACAAATGAAGAAACATAATAAACTGCCAAATGAATTAAACTTGAATAAAAAATGTATTACAGACATATTAAAATTGAATTAAAAGCGAATTAAACATGAATGCAAAATGTAGCAAACGAAAGAGCATTATGTGATTTGTAAACTGAATAAAACTTGTATTAATAATGAATTAAAGAAGTAATTCAATCATAACAAATCAACCAATAAACCGCAAAATGAATTAACTTGTATTAAAAGTGCATACACAAATATTAAAGTTGAATTAAGCATGGATAAAAAATGTAACTAATGAAACATCAGACAATGATCTATAAAGTGAATTAAACTTATATCAATAATGAATTAAACAAGTAATCTAACAGTAACAAATAATAAACAACAAAAAACAAAATTGCATTAAAAGTGTATTACACAATATTAAAGTTGAATTAGAAGAGAAAATTAACAATAAATGAAAAACGTAACTAACGAAAGACAAGACAATAATCTATAGACTGAATTAAACTTGTATTATTCATGAATAAAACATGTATTATATGTGTCTTATAAATTATTTTAGTTTGTATCACCAAGAACATGAGTGATGTTTGCAATATGTATTACAAATGTATTGTGATATGTTATAAATGTATTACAAGTGTGTTACTTAAATTATTTTGGTTGATATCACTAAAAAAGGAGTGAAGTTTCTAATATGTATTATAAATGTATTGTTCGTGATTTTAATACAATTATGAAACATATCTAATACAACTTTAATACAATCGCGATACCGTTCCATAAACTTCACCTTTTTCGAGTTTCAATCTAATATTTCTCCTAAAATCAATTATAAACTTAACCAAACCCTCTTAAAATTGGGATATAAACTCCAAACGACATTTTCAATTATTTGTAGGAACAACCTAACCAAACTAATCACAAATTCGTAAAATTCAAATAATGAATTCAAAATTTGAATCTTTATAATGACCATCAATGGTGAACTCTTGTTTCTATAATTTTAAAGATTTGAAATTTCTATTTGAGAACATGATATTGTACAATTTTTTGATTTTTCTATTCCTCTTCTCGTCGTGTTTTTGGATAAAAATAGTGAAATATGGGCAAAAACTGATTTAAAAACAGTTATTTAAATGAAAATTTCAAAAAAAAAAAAAAAAAAAGAAGGAAGAGAAAGAATGACACAGAAAGAAACGATGAAGAAGAAGAAAAAAAAAGAGGAGGAGAAAAAGGGCAGAGAAAGAGACGAAGGAAGATAAACAGTACAATTTTTTAATTCTAAAAAATTGTTATATTTAGTTAGAAAAATTGTATTGCCATAGATGGTAAATATTTTTTTAATATTGCATATTTATGTGATTTACCCAATAATAAATGAAATGCATGTTTCATTATGATATCCATATTCACTGATGTCATAGTCTTAATGGACTTGACAAATAATTTGAAATGAGTGATATAATTAGTGTTAATGGCAAAGCAAAGTAATAATTATTATTTTTCTCTTGATACACTAAAATGGATAAGAAAAAATGAAAATATGTTTTTAATACAAGTAAAATTAATCGGAGAGAGTAATTTTCTAGACAAAATAATGAAGTTTTCTGCATACATCATTTTCAAGTTCTACTTGCACTTTTGTCATTTAACTAAGCTAATAAGTTTTTTCTTAATAAGTAGGTATTTATTTTCCAAGAGAGCTTACCAGTTAACATGTCCTTTTCTCATCCTTCATTTTCATAACAATTATTTGTGCCAATATGCCTTTGCCTTTCGTTCTTGAAAAAAGCTAAATAAAAGCAATTTAAAGTTTTTTGTGAGCTAGAGAACAAAAATGTACATAAACAATCATACAGCAGAGGACCACATGGTGGCGTGCGGTCACGTGGCCGTTTGAGAGACAAAAGTTACAAAACAATCAGATCACCACATATTATCTCACACTTGTACATGACATAATTCCATTAAATGAAAAATTAAAAGTAGAATTAGCAAAACAAGAAAAAGCTAATCCAAATTAGGAAAAGATGTATTATTTTACTAGACGCCAAGGTGAATTAAGTTAAATTATGGTGTACTAGTAGTATTATGATTGAGACATCATCCACTTCCCACAGGCAAGTGGCGTTAAGAGACAAAAGTTGCTCAACAACAACTATATACCTGGTGAAATTAGAGTATACGCAAACCTTACTCCTACCTTGTAAAAGTAAAAAGGCACAAAAGTTATTCAGTTGGTACCTAAAAAGCGAGTTAAGGAGTAAACATTGGTTGCTTCTATATTTGGAAGCGATTGATCTAAAAATCATTTACAAAGTCAAAGTATGACAAACCTTTCATTTTTCAATTCATCCAGCAAGAGACAGCAAATTAAATCTCACTCTTGACAGATTTCACACCGACTTTCTTGTGAAATCTTATAAACAGTCCAAGTTCAACCTAAGTTTAAGATATACAAGTCAAATCTGGGATCTGGTTTATCAGGTGGAATGGATAATCAACTTGTTTGCTACTAAGCGGATGCCAGCATTCTGTTGGACGTCATATGAATCCACTGAGAAGTAAGCATCCACGAACGTTCCCGCTGTTATCAAGGATTCCAGTTCTTCCACATCAAATTTACTAAAGATCACGAGCTTCTCTGTTGTGGAAGATTCTTTCTGGTATATCTCCGTGATCCAACGGAAAATATTGCCATCTATAACAGTTGGTAAACTGCATGTTTACACATATTAGAAATTAGCTAATAGCACAAGAGGACTATCATCAGTAAAAAGAGACTGCTTGCTCCGATAAATGAAGCAGGATTAACAGAGGATGTAAAATATCACATCGCCACTTTATCTGGTGTATTTCACAACTCTTATGTCCTAATTTATAATAAGAATCTTGGGATAACCATAAAACTAAAGAACTCGTAAGTAACTCATGTAGTGACTCGATCAGGATAAGGGCACATAATTTGTTAGTGACATATATCCACCCACCCTCTAACATTAGAAATCCTGAGGTGAGAAGGGATGATTTTTTATTTTTTTTAACATGAACTATACATGCAAGAAAATGGCAAGCATGTTACCTGGTCTTGGAAAACAAAGCATATTCACTTGTAGGAGGGGGAGAAAAAGATCTAAACTTACTTTAAACGGACAGTAGGATAGTTCATAAATCCAGGCTTTCTAGTTACCACAGGCCTCCACTCTGAGCTGCTACTTGAGTCCACAGATAGCTTTTGAGCCCGATCATCAACTACATCCAAGATTTTGCACAGGTCCGATGATGCATCAACCACAAAACTCAGTCGTGGCCAACCAGCCTTATTAACATACTTTTTACTAATATCAAACCGCACCTTCATTCGTCTACAACAAACTAGTAGTTCACCATAGTCGTGCAATACTTGTATCTTCTGAGACCCACGATAAAAAGGGATAAGACTTACAGAGACAGAAGGTATGGAGATTTCATTTGGTTCTAAGAAGTCAGTCCAGCCAATGAAGCTCTCAGTTGCAGTTGTGGCAGATCCTGGAGAATATGAACCAGATTCATCTTCCATGACTTCTGACAGAAGGGACTCTTCCAATTCGTCCATGTTAAATGGATTGATTTCTGCTGTAGATTCGACATGACTTTCTATCTTGATGCTTGGTGAGGGTGTATCTGCACTGAAGCCCGTCTTCTCTGGAGTAGCTCTCCCAATTGTTCGGCTTCTTGTAATAGCATTAGGAGACACCCAACTATTCTCTGTAAATATGTCTGGCAGGCTAGATTCCTGCAGCAAAGCCAAATTCATTACTCTGTTCAGCCCAAACAGAAGTGAAGAGAGCAAATAATATCAAATCTGAGTTCATAGAATGACAATATAACATCTACGTGAATGAATCCATTTAAGAACGAACTAAGCGTCAGAGGGCCAATGGAAGTACCAGAACCAAAAGGAATGAAAATACAATAGGATCCAGTCTGGGACACTGGATTAAAATTCAGACAAGGCTTAACTTTATTACTTGCAAAGCTTCAGTATTATCTAAACATTTGATGAATTAAATTTTGGTCAGTCCACCAAAAGCCATTCTAAGGGTCATGACAGAGGCTCCGCAGTCGCAACCTGTCCTTTGACTATATATCAACACATAAAGTGTTAAACCAGTCAAGTTGTGACGAGTTCTACATCATATGTTATCCTAGTTGTCAAACTCTTGCCTTTACCAGTAGTCAGCCAAAAGCCAACTCATATGGCAAGAAATTAACTTTCAACATTCTCCAACTTTTAGCGCGATGCACCTAATTTAGATGTATCCCACTCAATATTAATGGCTGTCAAAGGACCTGACAAGGAACAATGAGAGTAATGTGACAAGTAATTAACTTTAAACATTCTCCAACTTTATGCATCATCACCAAACATACAAACAAAAAACATTAGCTGTGATTGATGACTGGCTTACCATAAACAAGACAGTTGCACAGTACTTCAGCACTTCAAGATTCATTCGGACATCATCCAAACTCCTGAAAATAGTCGCAGGGAATATTTGCAAACTCAATATCAATTGAAAGAGTAAAACTCTTAATTCCACATAAAAGAAGCATCCAAAGTATCAAACGAAGAGGACATTACATTTCCTATAACAAGAGTGACCATCTCAATCCCTTGCTTCAACAGGGGCCAGAAAAAAGAATGCTAAAACAAGGTGGTAACTTACAGAACAAAGTTGAGGAAAACAAGAAAAAGAAGACATGAAGCAAACTGTATGAACATATTCTATTATGCTTATTTTAGTATACTGAGCAAGAACAAGCACATTGAGAAGTTAAAAAGAAGGAAATAAGCCTAGTCCACGTTGTCCAACCTACTAGTCAATAAAGGTACACAGCGGGACCAAAGAACATAAAACTCACGTTAAAAAAAATATTTTTCAACAAAGGGGAAAAGCACACACAAAAAAGGAAAAACTCTTTTACCTATGTATTTGCTGTCCAAGGCCAAAATAAGTAGCAAGAGAGGCCAGCTGATAAATGAAATTAAAAAAAAAAAAAAACCAATCAGCAGTCAACCCAAGAGAGTAAGAATTCATCACTTGTACCCTTGAGATAACATCCATTACCGTACCCAAAACTTAAGCAACCTCTCCTATTTAGCAGAAGTGACCTAAACTGCAAGTGCAAAATGTCCAATATGCAGTGTAAAGTATGCTTGCATTAAACACTCCTGCTTGTTTCTCAGTGTCTGGTATCTAGTGATGGATACTTTTCCAATTTTCTCTTTTTTTAACTTCCTAATAAAACTCAAACAAAGTTTGCAGAAATAGAAGTTAGAACAGAACTACAGTAATCCATTTTACTAACCTAAAAAAGTGAGATTTGGGAGGATGGAAATTATCACACTTCAAGTTTGAAAAAAGAAAACCCCGAAGGTGACAAAAGAAAGTATATGCTCCTAGATGACATGCTTCACAAAAATAGGGAAATTTATTAGGCTAATATAAGCACATATTGGATGGAGTATTTGTAAACAAAGTCTTTTATTTCTGTTTCCTTCATTGTTCAGTGGCTTGAATAGAGAAAAAGATGTCGATAACCATTGAAGCAAGCTCTTACCAAATCTGATGAAGAGAAAAATGCATCAACCACATTGATTTATTAATTAATTGATTAGTTCTAGTCCAGTAACTAATATTGCCTACTTTTCCATATAGGTGGAATATTTATATACCTTCATGTCACCAGCTCTCCTTCCAAATCTCTGAGTCAATAAGGCCAATGTATCAATAATTCCTATAGGCTCTGGTGCTGGCTTATTAATCCCAGCAAATGCTTCCCGTATCCGGTGACAATCAAATTTCAGTATATTGTGGCCTGCCCATATTCTCCCTGCACAAACAGCATAACAAGCACATTTGCCCTTTGCTAATAAGCCATCCAAAACTCAATTTATCGAAAATACAGCTCAAAAATACTGAAAATGAATAAACACTCAAATGGCACGTAGAAAGGGATAATAAACAGGGGAGCTGGATGGTGTAAAGCTAACCATGGAGAATGTCATAAACTTTGTCAGCGATTTCAGCGAAGGTGGGAGCAGATGTGACTGCTTCCGGGTTAATGCCGTTACAGCGAACAGAGAGGGTGGGAATGAGGGAGAGATCAGTGGGCCTTACGAGAGTAGAATAAGTCTCTTGCTCGACGAGCTTCCTTGGACAAACAAGAATAGCCCCAAACTCTAAGATCGCAAATCCTTGTCCGGGTCGGGTTGGTACAGTAGTTTCAACATCGAAGAAGGCAACCTCCATCCTCTCATCGCCCATCATCATCAACTCCGAAAATTAAAAACTAGCGAGGAAAAATGGTTCTTTCTTCCGGCAGGTATTATGGATATTAGATATGTATAGACGTGCATGAGAAATGTTTCACAGGAAGAAGAAGCTTCCTTTATTTGCTTACTGATTTTGCAGGTTCAAATTTTCTATTCATGGTCTATCCCGCCAACATTTTTATTTTCAAAATTTTCAGAAAAAAATAATTCATAAAATAAAATAAATGAGACCTAATACAGGATTTTATCACATATTTGTACACATTGGAATTTTGTGGAACTCTACAAAATGCGTTCAATTCGAGTTGGGACTCTACAAATTGTGTTCAATTCAAATTAGGATATTTGGAGGCTACTCAATTCTAAACTCTAGTTCACGCCTATATAAAAGGTACAAAATTCCACAAAAGTCATGAAATATTCATATAGAGGTCAAATTTAAATCATCCTAGGAAAGTAGAATCAAGACCCTTGAATCATGTAGGAGAGTAGAATCAAGGAACAAACAAAATAATCATGGATAAATCTTAGGAGAGTAGAATCAAAACCCTCAAATCATGTAGGAGAGTAGAATCAAGGGACGAACAAAATAATCATGAATAAATCTTAGGAGCGTAGAATCAAGACCCTCAAATCATGTAGGAGAGTAGAATCAAGAGATGAATAAAATAATCATGGATAAATCTTAGGGGAGTAGAATCAAGACTGTCAAATCATGTAGGAGAGTAGAATCAAGGGAGGAACAAAATTGTACCCGCAAACTTGATGAATAAAATTATGTTTCTTCATATTTTTTTGTGATTGTAATTTATTTTCTATCATTTTAAAATTTGTTGCAAACAATATTATTTCCAAAAGTAATTTGATAAATTTAAAATAGGTTTAATTTTTGGGCAGGGAGGGCATAACTGCTGAGTGCTGAGCCATATTCTTTGTTTAGAGCGTCAAATGAATTACTACTATATTGTTAGTAGTTCAAACGTGTATGCCTCACTAACCTGAACATTAGTATACCTCGACCTCACGTCTATCTTCCTTGTTTGCTTACAAATCTATATGAAGAAGCTTGAGATGTTTTCAAAATTTTGGGTAATGTCTATCTTTGTGAACAAATTCGGATCTGATCATATAAAAACTGGCTAATTCGAACAAAGAAACTTAGTATATCATTTTGTTCTCAAACTATTCAACTTGGTGAGACGGATCTATTTTCAAACACAATGTACATCAAACTATTAATTCCCCCTCCGAAATATTTTGCGGGTAACCTTGCAATTTGGCTTGACTAGTGAGCAGACCAAGCATCTCATAGACTGAACAAGCATGCTTGTGACTTAGGTCACTGGCCAGAAAATTATGAGTGGTACCGTCAGCTTCGATTTTGCTTTGACCTGGAGACTTTTTTACTCCCATTCCAAACATCTTCTGTCTCGTGATTACAACATCTTGCCACCTCTTTTCAGTTGCATATAGATTTGACAAGAGCACGAAGTAGCCAGCAGCTCTATCAGGTTCAAGCTTCACAGCCAACTTTTGAGCTATGCTAGAAGCTAGTCTCACATTTTTGTGTATCTTGCATCCACCAAGAAGAGCACCCCAAACAGCCTCATTTGGCCTCATAGGCATTGTCTCAACAAGCGCCACGGCGTCATCGAAAAGTCCAGCACGACTTAGCATATCAACCATGCATCCATAGTGCTCAATCCTCGGCTCGATATACCAAGTCTCTTTCATACATCTAAAGTATCGGTATCCCTCATTGACATAACCAGCATGACTGCAAGCAAACAGAACACCTAAAAATGTTATCTCATCCGGCCTAACATCATTTCCTCCCCAGCTTTCCATCTGCTGGAAAATAGTTAGAGCTTCATGTGCATACCCTTGTTTTGCAAAACCTGTGATCATACTGGTCCAAGAAATGGAGTTTCTTTTAGGCATCTCTTCAAATACTCGATAACCTTCCTCTATTTCACCACAACTAGCATACATATGTATAAGTGCATTGTAAAATGACACCAGCACCGGCTCATTCCTCAACTGTGAGGACTCAACAACACTTGAATGAATCCACTTCCCCAGATCTAGAGTTCCCAATTCAGCACACGCTGATAAAACAGCCACCAAGGTCACCTGATCGAATTCCACATGGTTCCTTTGCATAAGGCGAAACAAAGCTAGTGCCTGTTGACATCTTCCATTCTGCGTACATCCTGCAATCACCGTCGTCCAGGAAACAACATTCTTATCTGGCATCTCATCGAAAATTCTAATTGCCTCATCAACATCCCCATTTCTAAAATACCCAAACAGCAACGAATTCCAAGTCACAACATTTTTCTCGATCATTTCATCAAACACCTTCCGTGCATCATCAATGCAGTTTTGCCCTCTGGTAGTTGAATATAAATTAACCAAATTAGTCTGAACAAATACATTTAGCAAAGACCATTTTTTTACAATCTTCCCATGAACCTGCTGACCTTCCCTGAATAAACCCCCTTTTGCGCAGCCATTAAGTACATAGGAATATGTATACCCATCAGGCATAGCAGTTGATATCTCCATTTGATTAAAAAGTTCAATAGATTTCTGTGGGTTTTCGCGACGGGCATGACCCCTAATAATTTGGTTCCAAAGGGTGGTGCTTGGACTTCGAACTTGACTGAAAATATGGTCGGCATATTTGAGACTGTAAGATGTTAAGAAAGGAGAAAGTAGTCTTACAAGAATGAAATTTTTCTGGGTAAATCCATTGGTGATAACGTGGGCGTGGATTTGTGTTAGCTGTTTGATGGATTTGCAGCTCTGCAAGAGAGAGAAGAGTCGTTGTTGGAGAGCTCTTGATCCTCTCTGCTTGGCGGGAACTGATTCTTCAACTGACATTCAACCTCACAATTAATTGAAATAGGGTATCCTTTTATTCTAGCAACTCATTATTTGGACTTCGGTTTATTGACATACTCAGTGTAATTGCACAAAGTGGGATTAGGGGAGTGTATAGACTCTGCAATAGAGGGTACATAGAAGTAACAAAGTACAAGAAACAATGAATAGTAATACAATAACTACAACAAAATAATACGTGAAGAACAAGAAACGGAAGTACCTATTTTTAAACAGATGAAAGGCTAAAAAGGAAGCTCATTTCCATTAATTCAGACACTGTTGTAAATGAACATAGTAGAGTACAAAGACCAGACCTATAAGTTAAAACTTATAAGTTATAGCAGAGCTACTTCCTGGCCATAAAATCTAAGCTCTGCACATTGTGCCAAATGATAAGATTCTTGCATAAGGTGGCCAAGCCTTTTACAAGCGCAGCGCAACCCCTAATCAATCTCCCTAAACATCTTAAACCAACAAGAATTAATCTGAGTCTGAAAAGTTACCTTAAGTCCAATCCAATCAAGACCGTATTGTTGTTCTCTGACTTGCTGAGGAAAAAGATTTCTGCAGTAGATAGCTACTCTCTCTTGTATGTCATCAAAGCTTGTGCTAAGAAATCATTGGGAACTGAAGGGCAACAAACCCATACCCTTGTAATCAAACTCGGCTACGAACCCATCATTTTTCTTCAAACATCGCTCATGGATATGTACGCTGCAACTACAAATGTTGCTGATGTGCACACGGTGTTTGACGAAATACCCAACAAGAATGTTGTGTGCTGGACTTCACTGATTTCTGCGTATATGCGAAATCAGAAACCATACAGAGCTATAGAGATATTCAGGCAAATGCAAATGGATGGTGTAGAGCCTGATCAGGTAACATTCACTGTTTCCCTGTCGGCCTGTGCTGATATGGGGGCATTGGATAAAGGGGTGTGGATTCATGATCTTATAAGTCGAAAGCCGGAGTTTAGTGAGGATTTATCTTTAATGAATGCTCTGGTGAACATGTATGTAAAATGTGGGGATATCAGAAAAGCTATGTTAGTGTTTGATAATATTAGAGTTAAGGATGTTAGGACTTGGACATCCATGATTATTGGGCATGCATTACACGGCCAAGCAGAGGAAGCGCTAAGGCTGTTTTCAACATTGGAAGAAGAAAACAAGTTAAGATCAAGTCAAAGCCGAGGAACTAAGGACCAATTACTTGTTCCGAATGATGTTATGTTTATAGGGGTTCTAATGGCTTGTTCCCATGCGGGGATGGTGGAAGAGGGGAAAAGATATTTTAGAAGTATGATTGAAGAGTATGGCATAAAGCCCAGGCATTCTCACTTTGGCTGCATGGTGGATCTGTTATGTCGTCTTGGACTGCTAAAAGAGGCATATAGCTTTATTTTGGCAATGCCAATTCAGCCAAATGCAGTTATATGGAGGACCTTATTAGGTGCCTCTGGTGTTCATGGCAACGAAGAACTTGCTGCAGTGGCTCAGTCTAAATTACGTGAGTTAAACGCTAGTCTAGTTGGTGATGATGTTGCGTTGTCTAATATCTATGCTGCCAAGGGCATGTGGGAGGATAAAATAATGCTTAGATATGAGATGACACAAAGGAGAACTCCTGGCTGTAGTACAGTTGAGGTGGGGAAGTTGCATTCTTGAATGTTAGTGCAGAAAAAGTGATTAACCTTCGGATTAGTTTCTTGCTCACTTCATAGGTACATAAGTGCCAGCTTTTTATCAAGGACATTAAGGGTGTGTCCATGAAAAATATTTTGTAGGAATATAAGTGGATTTCTTACTTATTTTCTCGTGTTGCTGCTCCTAATCCGCTTTTTCCTACTCCGTCTCCTCCTCCTCCTTCGTACAATAAATTGTTTTCTTAGTTATTTAACGTGTAGTTAGTATTGACAAACTTCAGTTAAAAATCAAAAGGGTTGTTGCTCCTCTTCCACTTCTTCCTCCTAGTCTCCTCCTCCTCCTCTTATAATAGTCCAATCATTTTTGAGAAATCTCTGATTGGACAACTGAAATTATTTGAATAACTCCGAATATTGATCTTTTCGCCAAACTTCAAACATACGAATCTAAAGTTTGGGACACTATGTCAAACTTGACAAAAAAAAATTGTATTAACAAAATTTTGCAACTTTAGTCGCATATGTTTGAAATTGATTCCGAAATGTTGAGATGGCAAATAAGGGGGGGCAGGACAGGGCAAGGAAACACTTAAACGGGTAGTTGGGGGCTTTGGGTGGGGCAATTGCTTTTTTGAAAATCTAACTAGAGGTAGGATAGATGGCGGGCCAGTAGTGTTATACAACAAGTAATATATCTTTTCTTCTACTATATGTGATACAATGGCTATGATACATACTTCATGAAGTTGTTTAGATATATTTAATTTAATATCAGATACAATAATCATGCAACACGCCCATTCCATAGTTTAATTAGACGAATCAAATACAATATCAACTTTGTATAGGTATATGTTTATAGATTTTTGGGTGAACTACATAAATTTTACTACTTTAGATCCTAATTACTAGGATTCCCATTAGTTTTTTTATATTACTTTATATACCATTTTTTGGCCTTCGGATACATGTATCATGGCCGGTCAGATACATGTATCCATCAGATTTAAAAATCGAGATACACTATTTAATTGTTTTTGAATTAAAGATTGTAACTTATTTCCTTAATTAAAGAAGTAAATGATGGAAATTAACAACCAAAACGGATATAGAGGATTCTTCCAAATCAACTCTTACCACTTTTACTAAAAAATCAAAATCATAAACCGTAGTATTTCTGAAATTGTAAACTTCATCTTCTTCGTCAATACCTTTCTGTGTATCTTCAAGTTTTGAGATTTTTTTTTCCAAATGGTCAATATCACAGTATGATTGAGGCATTCGGATTCATGGCTCTCTGAAATCAAATACAAAAATTAAGAATCGATGAAACACAATTTAATAGCGCACAACTTGCCGACACTGATTTCTGGTCTTGACAACGTTTCTGGGCCCTCAAACAGGGAGTGCTGCTTTGTTTAGCCACCCCAGGAGGTGCTCCTTGGCAACCCATCTACTCCCACTCTATGTCAATTCCTCCTCGAAAGGAATGACACACAATCAGTATTATTGCTGCTAGAATAATATTGCATATCACCAAAAAATCAAAACACACTAAATTTGTCCATGGCTTTAACATTGACATATTTCATAACTATGAATTGAGTGTACACGCAAAAGCATTGAGATCAGCTATATAATGGAAGACAATTTAATTACAATAATGAAATTCGAAATGAGATGAGAATGAGATATTTTATGGAATTAAAAAGATGTAAATTCGATTGCGGGTTATATCCATTATGCATAACAATTAAAGATCAAAATTTTGGCCGTAGTAATAATGGTGAAATATCTTTTGAGCAAGATACATCAATTGTTTGAATGAGAGTTGAAGGTAGAACTGAAACTACATGTAATGCTATTTCAGATACATATATAAAATTTCATTCATTTCTTTTCCAAAAACACAAAAAGTGTATAAATATTCTTCTTTCTATTAATTCGTTTTTCTTTCTTTGAATCTTGATTTTTATATATATATATAATTTTTTTTTTTTTTTTTTACAATAATCAATCTTCATTTCGAATTATAACCATGATGGTGAAGTTATTTTTTAGCCAAATTCATCATCTTTTCGATTTGAAATTGAAAGTGCTAGTGCTGCAAAAATAACTTGAGATACAAAGACAATGAAAGCTTAATAATCAGATACATAGTGATATTATATCAAATACATTAATAAATATACTAGATATAACCAGAGAGGCATATGCACGCTAGATACATTAACATAAAAATCAGATACAAGACATTAACGATTTAGGTACATTAATAGAAAGTAGATACAAGACATTGGAGATTTAGATACATTAATAAAAAGATAGATACATAAAGATATTAAATGAGATACAGGAAAAACACACACTAGATACATAGGGCTATTAAAATCAAGGGCAACTAAAATCAAATACAATTCATAAAGTTTAGATACATTGAAATTACAATTAGATACATATGAAAATTAAACTAGATACATAATAAAATAATTTTACCAAGTTCTGGAGAGATGGCAAAGGGAAACTTGATGATAGAGAAAAAATATTAATGGTAATTGGATCATTAATTTTGGTGTTTAAATATAAAGATAATTAATCAATTCTAGTTTTAAGGGATTTGTGTATCTAATATGTATTTAAAATATATGGTATAAAATATTAAAAGTGGTAATATATGTAATTGTTTGAAAGTAGAGATAATATTAGTATATATGGTAGAGATGTATGTTTAGTTATGTAGTTTTTCCTAGATTTTTAAAATTTTATTTTATATAAGCATAAAGTCTAATCTATATACATTTTCTTAATAATGAGTAAACACTTAACAACATTCAGATACATGCTAAAAAAGTATAATTTATATACATTTTTATAAGATCTAGTCCACCTACAATAATACTGAATTTTTTTATCAGATTATACTACTGAAAAAATTATTATCTTTCAATTAAAATATATAACTAAAAAATGATAAGTCGATAGACGCGTGAAATTAAAATATATAATTAAAAATTGGTAAGTCATTAGACGCTTGAAATTCAAATATATAACTAAAAAATGATAAGTCATTAGTCGCGTGAAATTAAAATATATAACTAAAAAATGGCAAGTCGTTAGATGTGAAATTAAAATATATAACTAAAAAATGGTAAGTCGTTAGATGTGACATTAAAATATATAACTAAAAAATGATAAGTCGTTAGACGCATGAAATTAAAATATAAAACTAAAAAATGGTAAGTCGTTAGACGCGTGATTTACTTTTAAGTTTAGCGTTTTAGTTATATTCTATTTTTAAATACACATAATTATAACATGTATGTAGATGTGTTAGATACATGTCTAATGAACTAAATATGGTACTAACTGCAATTTTGAAAACACAAGATAAATCACGTAATTAGACTCTAAACTAATGAAATTTGTATTTTTGCTCTTTATAAATTTCAGATGTGTTTTAAAAATAGGGGTCCTCTATCGGCAATTTGTGCACTGTGCACTTTCCCCAATCTAAGCAAACAGCTTTATCACACTAAGCCCAAAGTGTGATACGGAACCCGGGTCCAACTGTTGCAGGCGCTCTACTTCGGCGAAGTCACCTACCGGTCAGAGAAGTGACTCGCTCTGTGCCTGAGGAATGGTAGGAAGAAATGAATACTGAATTTCATCTACTCCAACTTCCATGGTAGCTTAATCATTGCCTATGCTAGGTTAATTGTCTATCGTACTGAAATCCTGACGATTCTGTTACTGTTTTCGGTCCCTGGCCGTTGACAGTTTTCACTATGCCTTCCGATGCTGACTTATCGGACGATGATCGAAAACCTAAGGTTGGCCCTAGCGCTAATTCCATCGATCAGTCTTTGGACGCCATCGAGAATCAATTATCCTCGATTTCAGTTGGTCAATCCGAGTACGAATCCGAAGCCGACTCCGACGTCGAAATCAAGGAACCTTCGTCATCGAATCAGGATAAGCTGAAGGAGCTCCCGAATGGACTGTTGAATAGGAATTCCGAAGCTGATACTTCTGAGGAGCTTCCTCCTATCAATGTGGTTGAAGACGTTAGCTCTTCGGTACCCGTGTGGAGGAACAATTCCGAAGAAATGGAGGCTCCGGCAAGTCCTAGTAGCAGTGGCTATGCAGGTGAAAGAGGGAGTAGCAACGCTAGTAGTAGGGACACTGGCATTGAGGAGGTCGACGGTGAGATTCTTGAAATTGGCAATGGTGATTCTTTTGATGGAGGTTCGAACTCTCAGGTGCAATGGCTTCCTGGGAAACGCCATGGCAATGAGGTGAGTCCAACAGAAGCTAGTGAATGTGAACTCTTTAAGTAGTAATTGTGGCTAGTTTAGCAAATACTAAAACAGTGCTTTGCAATCAGGGAATTTTAAGTCTAGATAGTCTTTTAACACAGTAAGGTCAAACTGAGTACAACCTGTAGGCTGCAATAAGATTCAACTTTGTGACTACCTGTAGGATGAAATCTCACATTTAGATTTTAAAGGGCATGAGCAGTGGATGTGGTAGCAATTACGGTTTATAAGCTTACAACTTTTTTATATTTCCTCCTTATGCACACACTCTACTTATCAAGACTTCCAGCTGCATTTTCATCAATTTGATAACTGTGCAAATTAGAATTGTTGAGAAACAAGTCAAGGTATGTTTAAGAGCTCGCCTCGATGACAATGACAATCAAACAATATTTGATACGGCTATTTTGCAGAATATATACTGATGAGATCATGAGACTAATTTATATGCAACAACTAAAACGTATCTTCAGTAGCATTAAAAGGGAAGTAAAGGAGATCCACTGTTGATGCTATTTTGCAGAATATATACTGATGAGATCATGAGACTAATTTATATGCAACAACTAAAACGTATCTTCAGTAGCATCAAAAGGGAAGTAAAGGAGATCCACTGTTGATATGTTCAAGTTTATCTTTTGAGTCTTTTGATTGATGAAGTGCAGGATGATGCTTCCATTTCCTGGAGAAAAAGAAAGAAACACTTCTTTGTCTTGAGTCACTCGGGAAAACCAATATACTCGAGGTCAGTGTTAAAGCAG